AAATATTAGTATTAAACATTTGCAAACGTTGATAGATAGATTCTGAATTTTTTTTCAAATTAGAACATTAGCGACTATCTAATGTTGCGATCAAATGGGAAATTCGATTTTTTTTGAAGGAATCAATATAATTCAAAGTAAACAAATAGTGTTACGCGTACTGATTCTTTTTTTTTTTTACTTACTACATATATATTCGGYGTTTAATTAGCAAACCTTTAAAACAATTTTTTTTAAAATCATGGAAGATTAGACTAATTTATATATTGGGACAGTGCCCATTTTCCTTTTTTTTTCGCCATCTTGAATTCCTTTGTTTTAATTTGCATAGTTCTGTTTGTAGCATATTTTTTTTTATGTGTTGATAGGGTCTTACATAATCCTGTGTGGTGCACATATGGATCCAATTTTTTTTCACATTGACAAAAATTATGCAAGAAACAAATCCATAAAGACGAGTTAAAACATTTTTTTTATCATCTCCAACAACGATATAACTGATTGCGCCGTGAGGTGGAGCGCAGTGATTTTTTTTAGAACAGCTTTTAATTGTTCGTTTTGTGAATGGAAAACATGAATTATTAAATTTTTTTTTATTCTTAGTACGTGCACAATGACAGGCGATGTAATTGTGCTTGTACGAGGGATTTTTTTTTTTAAAAATTTACTGCAGGTACTTGTACATATTGTATGAAAACATCGATATCTTTTTTTTAATAGAAAAAAAAAAATAACAATTTATTGAAGATCTTCATTTTTCGGTCTTATCCCCTTTTATGGAGCTAGCTGTGACACCATTTCTTTCCGTGGGAGGGACCGTAAAAAAACGGTAAGGCTGTATAAATGAGACTATTTTCTCTGATGCATTCTTCAAGCTTTAGTTATTTTTTTTTTTCATTTTCAGTTAAATATCGAAATAGTTTAAAGCCAAAGGTAATGCAGCCCCTTTTTTTTTGTCCACAAAGTCCGCTTTGAAATATGTCGACTTTGTTTGCCAAATCAAAGGATTTTTTTTTTTCCGTTCAACAGTCTGCTCTGTGTGAATCAAAATGTCCAAAAACAATACCTTTTTTTTCATCAATTTTGCAGTAGGTTGCCATCTTGATATTCTTGAAAAAGCTTGACACCTCCTCTTGAGCCCCCCTTATCAAACCCCTGGCAAGGCCATTGTTTTATATGCAAAAGTATTTTTTTTTTTCTCATTTACCGAGGGGTTTGGGAGTTCACGTCGGACATATTGCTCGAAATTTTTTTTTTAACATTTTTAATTGAAAATTTTTCAACCAGTCATGATTGATTTGATCAAATGAAAATCTCCGATTTCAAAAAAACTGAAACTCAAATTCATAGAATTCAACAATATTTAGTTTTTTTTTAGAATTAGTAGCACAGATAGATTCCCACTCTACGCTAGGAATGCCTCTTGATTTTTTTTACGAGACTCACTCATATATACGATGACATTGTATGATAGGCACCATAAGGCTTTTCGTAACGAGAAAAAAATAATAATATTATAATAAAAGTCTAATGAAAAATCTAAATGGTTTTTTTTGACAATACACAGGACTAGTGCTGATTGGCTAGCAAGAAAGTGGACGAAGGTCATGACCTCCGTTTGAAAGACAACATCGTGGTGACGAGAAATATGTAATTCTGCACCCTCATTCCTGCTCGACAAGACTCTTGACTGAACAAGAATTTCACATCAACAATGRACCTGACTTTTTTTTTTGCTTCGTCAACTGGCTGTCTTGGTAGACATTGCTAAGACATATCAATAGTTTGTTTTTACTTCGACTCCCATGTACAAAGCTGTCAAAGAAAGGTACGTTAAGCTGTTGTTGTTCACTACWGTGAGCCGTGAATGACGGATGAGTAAGACCTATATCAGTCCACGAATACGTTTTTTTTTTTCCCAACAGTTAAATTCTCGTTTTAAGAAGTAATGTWAGTGAAATTTTCGGTTTTTTTTGTTTTAACKTATCTCCAAGAACTGTAAATTTGTCATTTCCAAGCGTTAAGTGTTTTTTTTGGCATGACACGGGGATTTGGGTCTAYGTTTACCAAATTGTGTAAATAATTGGTTTTTTTTCTGTATGACCAGTATAGTTAATCTATCGGAATTGAAAAATGTTCGATCTCAGTTTTTTTTACATAATAGATCAAAAGACAAGTAATAACGTAAAAATATTCAGCGGTTATCGTTTTTTTTTACAAGTTCCGCTTATCGCTAGTTAATACTTTACTTAGTCTTTTAATGATTATTTTTTTTAATACACTATTTCACATCTTATAGCACCTTTTGCTTTTTCGATTATTGATCATTTTTTTTTAAAAAATCGCCACTGCAGAAGCCTGATTATAGACGTATACGTAGAACGAACGCAAAGAAAACCTTGACCATTTTAACGTGTTGTATGGGATTTTACAATCTCGAGCCGAAGGCGAGAGATTGTAAAGCCCATACAACACGGACGCGAATGTTGTAAAATTACTTGTGAAACTTTTTTTTGTATACATTCATAATCTACTAAAAACGTGAAAATTGAATTTGGCTGAGAAAATTTTTTTTTAAGTTTATGCAAATCAAGACAGTTTTGTATCAAATATTACAATACTCTTCATTTTTTTTATTTCTTTTGTGTTTTCTCATTAATTATTCATATTATTCATGAGTTTTACAATTTTTTTTCACTGGAACAAACCGCGCACTTTAAAGGTTATAAATTTGTTGTAAATATGATTTTTTTTTCCAAAATGGTGTAAATTTGATTTGGACACTTACATCATATTTACATCAAATTTTTTTTTTTTGAAGTGCGCAATTTTTTCCAGTGTTTCAGCTTATTATTTCTCGTTAATTCTTTTTTTTTCTTCATTTCTTCATCATATTAACGTCATGCGTTTTCGATATTATTTCATGATTTTTTTTTGAAAAAGAMGTTTAGGTAYCCCTCGACATGCACAATAAAATACTGAGAAAATTTTTTTTGMCARTGCTTATAAACGCGCAACAGCTAAACCGGCAAACAACTTTCCTTTGATTTTTTTTTGTTGAACTTTGAGWTCATTATGATGAGTTGTTAAGTTTTGGCGCCAAGAGCTTTTTTTTTTGCGCCAGAGTTGCCATCAAYAGGCGTGCGACAAAGATCAAAAGGTCTTGTTTTTTTTTAATAGATCAATCAGCCATTGGATTTGAAGACACAGATGACAATGCATGATATTTTTTTTTCATCTTATTATAGAACTTTTAGTATAATTTTAGACAGTCAATGTCCCGTTAATTTTTTTTTGCAGGACGGACACATGAACGTTAAGATTAGCGGAAGAAAAAGAAAAAAAAATTTTTTTTATTATAAAATTAAACCCATCAAAAAAATTAATTCGATCCCGGATTGATAACATCATAAAATGTTGTGCGTTTTTTTCATCTACACAAAGTGTGGTGTCTCGAAAATTCTTTTTTTTTTTTCATGCTATCTGAGGTATGGAATTGAAAATTCTATTTTTGATATGCGTCATATTTTTTTTTGACTTTGTCTATAGCCTGAGGGATCTCGCACTTAAGAATCCAGGGTGTTCATTTTTTTTTCGGAAACTTCCCTATTCCCACAACTAGTGGTTTTACCATCAAAATCGTCAGATTTTTTTTACTGTGATTAAAGCAAGAAATTGTAACCATCATATCCATCATCACAAATGAATTTTTTTTAAATGAAGAGACTCATCATCATGTGGCCRTACCACAGCCGTAGGGCGCTCTTTTTTTTTTTTTAATAAAACGTTCTTCAAGGAATTGCAAGAAATCGTTCTTCTTCATCATCTTTTTTTTTGCCTGCTGTTTTTCGATGTCAAGAGCACACTGTTGAGGAGAGCCGGGAAAACAAAAAGAAAAAAAATCAGTATTTAAATTAAAGTCCTACGTACATCCAAGATCCTTTGCGTTTTTTTTTTTTGTTATAAGAATGATCTCTTGCAAGGTGCTATCTGATTGGTTTTTCGTGCGTCACGAAAATGGCGCAAAGGTTCCTTACTAGAAAAACTGCGCGCAAGCCTTATTTGGATTTTTTTTTCACACGGAACTGCATGATATGAGAGACCAACAAGGCTGATGAGTTCCTCCTTTTTTTTTTCGATACCAAAGGGAGGACGATAGTCACGTTTTATGGTTAATAATTAAAGTCATCACGTTTCAGGGTTGTTGATATTCTAATCTCAACGATCTGACGTGGGAAAGCTGYGAGTTTTTTTTTTGAAAGTCCCACATTGGGCTTCTGCTGCGGTTGGATAAAAAGATGCAATCTCGAAAAACACGGCATTTACGACTTTTACAGTCACGTGTAGCAGCAAACAATGTGATTTTGTTTTTTTTAATACATGAAATATCATGCCTTCCGGCAGAACTCGTTAGCGTCATTGTAGGTTTTTTTTTAGGGACTGCTATATGGAATCTCCTAGTGGAATTTATTTTTGATCGTGTTCAATTTTTTTTTTTTCATTGATTTTGATATTTCATTTCACTTTTTAACGATTTTAATTTCGAATTTTTTTTTCTTTTCAGAAAACAAAAGAAGATCAGTCAGGCCTAACTAACTTTCTTGTGTTTTTTTTTTCTTTAATATATTCATTTTTACAGAACTAGAAATGCTCTACAGCTTTGAAATTTTTTTTTTTTATTTTTTTAAGAAAGTTGGTCAATATTCTAGAATGTTTTTAATAATAAATTTTTTTTTTGTGTAAACAGAAAGTTTCTGACGTGTGTGGTTTAAGTGTGTCATAACCGCTTTTTTTTAAGCGAATCCTTCTATCAGCGCTGTGATTGGCTGGAATTGTCGTTTGAAATCTTTTTTTTTTGACTGGAGAAGAACAATGCTTTTACTTCAACGTTTCGCTTTGTTATTCAATTTTTTTTATCATTATCAAAACACTTGATTCAAAATGTTTCTAACCGGCTAACTGGTTGTTTTTTTTTAWTAATTCCCGTTRAAGATTTAACAKCACAAGAAATTCCCTCAAACATGACTTTTTTTTTTCAGGTACAAAAGGTTTGAAGCTAACTTTGATTGCTATTTTTAATATCTTAATTTTTTTTTTATCAGCTTTAAGACTTTGTGACTGCTGTCACTTTTATATTCAGCGCGATTTTTTTTTTACGTTTAAAAATTACCAGTTGAAAATATGGATGATAGTTTGGTGTCATGTCGTTTTTTTTAGAATGACCTTTGRAAACGCRATTTTTTCMTACTTTCTGATTCATTGCAATGTTTTTTTTACATCAACGAATCAAATAGACTTGATTTTCGCATATTTTATTGGAAGAGAATTTTTTTTTGAGGTAATTTCACTATATAATTATACTGAACAAAACGGTCATTGACTGTTGGTTTTTTTTTTTGTAAAAATCACGAAATACCAGTGAGTATTTTTTGATTTTTGCCGAGTGTTTTTTTTTGCTTTGTTTTTACTGATCTGATGTGACAATAAAAATTAACGCGTGCGTCAAATTTTTTTTGTTTTATTCCATTGGCATTTATTTTATTATTTCTTCGCAGAGCACGTCGTTTCTTCAGCGAACACAGATTGGTGGCATTAATTCCCAAATGATATCCTAAAAATAACAATCTCAAACAAAATTAAGGTGAGTTTTTGTTTCTTAAACGGATAAATACCGTTATGTACAAACAACTTACCCGCTGATGCGTCGAAAAACCGGTAAAACGTTTGTTGTAGTAAACAAAATATTGGATGCTGTGTTTGAAATGGACCCATAACAGCATGACTTCCTTTCAAACGGTATTTCAACTTTTTTTTTATGCGTGTTTTGGCTAGTRTTTTCATGCTTTATAYGGTTTATACATCTAAGTTTTTTTTTGGTGTTACTACATCAAGTTCAGGAAGTGCCAAGCCTGCATGTACGCTGAAAGGAGGATACTGACTCAACATTTTAGCATCTTTGTAATTCGGTAGAGGAGGGGTAGAATGTATTTTTTTTAGGTCCTTCATTTATTGTCAGCTTTTTCTTGTTACTGTAATTCTTAGCAAATTCAACGTTTTCATATTTTCTGTGACGTGACTTTGGTGCATATAAATTTCATCTAATATTATTTTTTTTGGTCTTAGAATAGATGAAGAAATAAGTTCAATTTATTAATCCTTTCTTCTGATTTTTTTTTTTTATTTATAAAAAATGGAATCTCAGTTCAAGTGGAACTTGCATGATAAAGTTTTTTTTTTTCATAGTCTTGTTATACGCAATGCATGGCCGATTTCTTTAGAAATTGACTTTTTTTTTCCGGAAATGTGAAAACCTTTTAATAAACAATATAACCGAAAAAAAAMCCGATTTTTTTTTAATAGTGCTCTCCTAAAATGTGAATATCATTAGCGAGTGTTTTGGTTCCTTTTTTTTTTTAGAAATATCCTAAATGTAGTCCATCCACTTCGGAGCATTTTTGTATTCTTCGTTTTTTTTAAAATGAAAAACTTGACAAAACTACAGCAATTTAGAAGCACACACAATGTTCTTTTTTTTGTAGAGTCCTCATTTACCCTGACAAGTTTCGTTAGTGTCTTTGCACTGTTTATTTTTTTTACCCCTGGGGAAGGAAAACAATATAAAAACGATGGGGACACGGCAGGGGCACTTTTTTTTATCACGGTATGGTAGGATATGATGTAAACTATGATTGTGATGATGATGATGATTTTTTTTATGATGATATTTATTTCAATAGTAATTTTGATTTTGGCTCCTTTTCCTTTAATTTTTTTTAACAACACGAACAAGGCATACACCTTGCAGGTTTCTGTTCTTAATACACTAATTTTTTTTCTAATATTGCTATACTTATAATGCCTTAAGAAAAACAAATATGGTACATTAATTTTTTTTTCTGTCTGGTGTACTTTAATGGCGGAGTGTTTTAACCTTGSTYGTTTTGAGTTTTTTTTTTGGTAAAATTGTTATCACAGCAGGGTTGACCTACCTATGATTAAAATCTTCTTTTTTTTTGTAATATGGTAGAGTGCAGGTTACTGTATGTCTTCTTGAGTGCAGTTCCCTTTTTTTTTTTATTTTTGTCTTGTGATATTCTGCTATCATTTCGTAATATCATCTCGTCTTCTTTTTTTTATTTGATTATCTTATGTGCATTAAGATTGAAAGTTGTGATATCGGTTCGTATGTGGATAAATTCGATGTTTTTGAATGGATATACGCCAAGGGAACAAAGATATTAAAACCTTTTTTTTTAATATCAGGAGTGATATTAATGAGGTCAATTGATTGACGGCTTGGATGATTGTTTTTTTTAACGGATTCGTTGATGGGAAATGATTGTTCGATGAAATGATTGCTGGATGGATTTTTTTTAACAATAGTASTTAAATCAAGGACATAATGCTATGATAGCTTACCGCGGAAACTGGCTGTTCCGAACAACAAATATTCTCTGAAGTTTTGAGTAACATCTAGTTTCCAAGAGCAACTATCACAGCAAGTGATGTCCGAGATTTCAACAGCTCTATTGTTTTTATTATTCAACTTTTTTTTAACTTTTCTGAAGCAGAGGTCTCTAAGTAATGATAGTACCCCTCTGCGGTCGTTTTTTTTGCGTCACRTGCATGTCCGACTCTCCACCAATGAAAGCAGAGCAAAGTTTTGTTGATTATTTATAATGATTGATAGAATAATTTATTAGAATGATTGATCAATTAAATTAATCGATGGAAGTAATGATTGATGGAATGATTGCTGTATGGACCTATTGATTGATGGAATGATTGATCGGTGAGAGAGCTAGTATTGCGTAAGAGATCARAYGAAGGAAAGGATGGATGGATAGTTTTTTTTGAAGGACGATAATTACCTAATGCTTTTTTAATACTTCACAGTGTTTACTAAAGCTCATTGTTGCGTTGAAGCTGTGTCAACAAGCAACTTTTATACGATAATTGTTTTGTTTTCCATACTGAACTGCAATAATCAGTGACGTCAGTGATTTGGGAAGCATTTATAATCTCATATTGATGACGAGCTTTCGTTGATTGGTCGTTTTATAAATTACTGTATTTGTACTTTCCGCAGATCACACTCGACTGCCTTGTCATTTTTGATGTTACCTATACCTTGACATGCAATCGTATTTTTTTTCTATTGGTATCGCAGGCGGTGTAGTGGCTATGATAATCATAATTTACATGGCTTTTTTTTTATACAAGAAATCTTCGAATTATACGATGATATCTAGCAAGAAAAGTAGTTTTTTTTTTTCTCGCATCATCCTTACTCCTTCAAGTCCACGACGCGGAGTAAAGCGATTGTTTTTTTTTTGACAAGAGAGAGAAAGAGCTGCTCGCATCGAAAGAGAGGAGAAATTAAACAATTTTTTTTAAAGAGAAAGACGGAAAGACATCAGGAGTATGTGGCTGCCGAAAAGGAAGGATTTTTTTTCGATTACTAAAACTACAATTGTTCAACCTATGCCAATGGAAATGGGCCAGGTATGTAATAATAATTTCAAAGCTCACATTTGGATATTGTGTGAAACTCCATTTTTCTTTTTTCAGCCACATTCGGCGCCTAGAGGCCGTCTGACGTTTAGTATGCATTACCAATACAAGTACGAGTCCAACACGTAAGGCTTATACAACAATTTTCTTGTAACTATAAATTGCATTTATTCTTTTTTTTAATACATGCTATTCCATTTTTTTCAATTTTCAGATTTAATTTGTTCAGTTTTTTTTTTTTCCATCCCTTTATGGAAATTAAGTTGAAATATAGACATTACCCGTTTTATAATTTTTTTTTTATAAGCCAAGACGACAGAAAGTGAAAAATGGGAAAATGAATGAATGGGAAATTTTTTTTAGAAAGGGTGTTCAGATGCCTGATTTTTTTTTTGTATTTTAAGGTCGTCATTTTTTTTTTAGCTGCTCAACGCATCTGACCTGCCGCCGAACGACACCGAACCGTTAGACGTGTTTGTTAAAACTCAAATGATACCAAGTCGAAAACAGCTTTTCATCTCGAAAGTTCTTCGACAAACGCTACACCCTTATTTCAATGAAACGTATGAATTTGAAATATCATACCACGAACTCCAAACGCAAAAGCTACTCTTCAACGTTATGGAATACGACTGTCTATCGCGTCATGAACTGATTGGTGAGGTGTTGGTGAACTTAGCAGATCTCGGAACTCACGGATTTAATATTTTACGCGAGGTCACGCTGTGCATCAACATCGCAAAGCCGAATAGCGGTGAACGGAAAGATACGTTTTTTTTTTGTTTAGACTAAGTGCGGCTGATAAATACGTACACTGAGTACGTACTAGTACGTTTTTTTTCTTACGTGAACTGGACAATTGTACAACTTACGTCACACTTAGTACTAGTACGTTTTTTTTATTGCGTGTACGGGGTAATTCTACGGCTCAGCCCTTACGTATACTGGGAACTTTTTTTTTAGAGTCCTTACGTATAATATACTGACTCAAGTCCACTGGGTACTTGTATAATTTTTTTTTTAAACACACTGCGTTTTTCGTACGGGTGAGTCGTTACGTATACTTTGCACTCTTTTTTTTAACTTAGGTAACATTCAATGGTTACTTTTACGGCCAAGTCCTTGCGCATTGCTTTTTTTTAGCTGTATGACGACTCCTAACGTACAMTGTGATACTAGATAGCACGACGCTATTTTTTTTATCTGGGTATTAGTAGCCCGCGCCAAATAGAGGCGATTTAGCATTCGTTTCATTTTTTTTCTTATTATAAATTGTCGTTCATTAATTATTGGGAAATATCTTAATTAATAGATTTTTTTTAGTTGAATTGTAAATATTACGTCTAGTGGAGACAATTAAATTTATTATCATTTTTTTTTTCTTTGCAGTAATGCAAGTCAGTTAATGATGTTTTCATTTTGTTGTCTGGGATTTTTTTTTTGTAATGAACGAATCCAGGATTTTCAAAAAGGGAGGGGGGTTTTCTTTTCCCTTTTTTTTAAAAAAGCCATCCTAAAAATAATAATGATAAATAAAATAATAATAAAATAGATTCGACTTATTGCCATCAGCAGTTAATCATTTGTACGTTTTCCTAGAGTGAACCTTAGAATTTTTTTTTCTACGCAAAAAGTATAAAACTACTGCGAAAAGGGGGAAAAGTCATCCATCCTTTTTTTTCCCTTAGGCTGTCTCACCMTAAAAGCCATTTTTACCGTTCTGTGTATAAAACTATGTCTACTCAGAAAAAGCGAACTGTTGGAGGAGGACTGTTGTAGCAGACATAAAAAGTACGAGAACTATAATTACCATCATGCTTTGCTGTACAAAATGGCGTCGCTGCACATTGCCTATTGTTTGATGATATTCCAACAATTATGTTGTACGGCGTTTGATAATCCTTGTAAAACGTTTTTTTTTGATTCATTTATCCTTGATTATATCACAGGCGACCAAACTAATAGCATTGGATTTTTTTTTAGTAGTTGTGTGGTTTGATCGCSTCAATCCTACTAATTCAAACGGTTTTCTGTTTTTTTTAGGCCATTGGCAAACCACAGAACCACTGCACTGGCGTGGGTAGGTGGGACAATTTTTTTTCTTAGAAATAAGCTGTGTTCCTCAGCTTTAATTGTTGCCAAAATACCTTGTGCGGCATAGAGTTCATTTTCTGTAGCGTAACATTTGTTTGCTTTCCTTTTCCACAATTTAATTTTTTTTCCCTCCCCCCCTGCCTCCCTAATTAACCCCTTCTCATCAATGCTGACTCTTGTTTTTTTTTAGGAAACCAACATGAACCAAATCTAAGCATTTGACTATACTGCATGTAAATTTTTTTTTTTTAAACGAAAAAAACATTTGTCTTTCCTTGTGATGTGGTTTTAAATTCTGATTTTTTTTTTCAATGGTCAGCACACTTTTTAGAGTGAAACTGGTCCATCTAAAATTTCACGGGAAAAGCTAGCCTGCTAACAGGCGATCCTGCCGGGGGGCCGAGAAGGAATGGGGAGGAGGAGCTCCTCCCCATTCTCTCTCGGCCCCTCAGCAGGAACGGTTCCTGTTAGTAGGCTAGGGAAAAGTTCACCTTAGTCACCCACAACAGTTGTTACAGCTACTGCGGCGTAAATTTCATTGTCAAAGACTGAATCATTCAACGGAGATTCTGAGCGAGATTATTTTTCGTTCTTTTTTCGAGTGAATCCTCCAAGCCTTTTGTCACGGCAGTGGTCCCCTGCCTACACAGGTAACCCACTTTTTTTTAGTTTATGACCTTTTTTATTGATTAGGTTCAAAAGTTTCATAAGAGTGATTTTTAAAATCTCTTAATAACGTTGGGGTCATAAGTAAATTCAAGAGCAATTCGGTAAAGCACAAAAGTTTGGAGAGATTTTGAACATTACAAAGCACAGGTAGCCCAAGCATTGGACTCTCTTGACTTGACAGCTTTTCGATTGAGAGAAAACGAAAACTTCAATTAGTGGCGAATCTGAATTTTTTTTTCTTGAAMATAGTGTTCTTTCTTATTTTTCTCAACTTTGTGTTATGATTTTTGTTTTTTTTAAATATTCAAGTCTTGACGTGCATTTTAGCAGCTTAATATGCGTTTAGTTCCGTTTGAAATCACAAGGAGAAATGCCAGAAAGAAGGACATACACAAGAACAAGAAAATGAATGAAAAACACAAATAGCTAACAGCTTTATGTGATGATGCTAATGACGAGATGCAATGGATTTTTTTTTACGTGCATTCCTGGCATAATTGCAAGCCCAGCGGTGATGTGCCACGAGGATGAACAATTACTTCAGAACCGACTGAATGAGAACAGAACCTTGTTTATAGAACACTTCATCACAGGTATGTGTGCTGGTTGTTTTATTTTATCACCTAAAGTCTGGCCAACAATTACGCGTTTTGGAGGAGTTTCGTATTGTTTTGAATGGTCTTAAGGACAATAAAAATACCCTCAAACGCCGTGTGAACGAATGGAGAAGCAACGCGTTATTTTCACTTTGCGTATAAGTATTTTCTATGTTTTTTTTAAACGTTTGAATTCAAACTGCTTGCGAACTTTCCATGAGCTAGTTTTTTTTCTTTTTTTTGTATATTTTTCTGCTATTTCAGCTTATTTAGTACAGCTTAATTTCAGAAATATTTTTTTTACATGCAATATTTACTCACGCAAACTATCTAGAAACCCAGAATACAAAAGTGAGCTTTCTTTGTAACTTTTACTATTGAAATATATTATATATTTATTCCTCTTTCTTTGAAGGAACTTAAAAATTGACCTGCTTTACTTAATTCATAATTTTTGAAAGAAAAGCATACATTTTTTTTTTTCGGGTGGACGCCATTATAACTGAAAACATGCGGACTGTAGTGAGGTTTCGTTTTTACTCAGTCTATTTGTCACAAGTGTAGCTTTTATTCTTTGTTTGTTTTCTTGTCTATTGACTGCTGTTTAATTTTTGCCTGCAGTTTAGTACTTGCATTTCACTATTCCTTTTTAACTCGAATATTGCGAAGAAATCGAAGAGTTATTGGAGGGGGACGAATCTGTCACTCACTAAGTCAGTCACTCACTTTCTTGTAAACTTGAGCCTGCGTTACTGTGTTCAGAATTATTAATATTTTTTTTTTATTTTCTAGTTATTCAGTCCAGTGGTCACCAATGAATCCATACGCTGTTGATTTTTTTTTAGTGTCCTTTATACTTCTTGTTGTCTGCATTGTGTATTCCGTGTATGCCTTTCAAAAAAGACGCAAACTCCAAATGGCCAAGCTTTATCAGATGCCTTCCTCAACTGCCTTTTTTTTTTAGCAAATCCCAGTCATCGAAAGCGTGCCGTTCTGGGTTCCAAGCTACATTTCGGACGTCGTAGACATCGAAGTTCAGCCCTCTCTAAAGAGCCTGGGTCCTAAATTTTCTACACCAAAGCAACGGCGATCATTCGGAACCACTTTAGTGAGTAGACAACCATGGTATTAACCACATTTAATTTAGTTCCAGTTCCTTTGATGGTCGTGCGCAAGAAAATCGAGCGCAGCGTATGAAAAAGTCCGTCAAGGCTGGGACTAAGAGGTGTTGATAGGATTTTGTGAGCATATATTATACATAGTTCAGCAGTGCTGATATTGTCTGTAGGTGTGAAAGAAGGTTTCTATCATTGCACGCTCAACGGTCGTTTCGCTCCGATGTAAAGGCACACCACTAACTTTCAACATAGCGCAGAGAACCGTGAAGAAGACTATTCCTAAAACCTCAAAGTGGAGAGATTTCAGCATCTTTTTAAGTTTCGTGCAAGGATAAGCGAGGAGTCTTTTAAGATTAAAATAAGTCATCTCTTGTCATTTTTTTTCCTATCTTGATACTTTTTAATCGACGGAAAAATCCRTATCCATGATCCTCTGTTTTTTTTTCGCACATAGTGCTGCAATGTTTATTCAAACTATGTTTATTGCAGTAACCTGGCCTCAGATGCCATCTATTAATCTTTCGCTCGTATATTTTCTTGTTCCGCAGGCTGATAAACCAAAATTAAAGTTTTCCGTCAAATATAATTCCTCCAGGTAACCCTCCCATTTGCCAGTTTTTTTTTTAAGTACTTGCAGTATATGCCATCTTCACCGGAATTTTCTATCTATTTTAGATCAACACTAGTTGTGGACTTGCTTGAGTCAAAGAACGTTGGAAGAGGAAACTTAGTTCACGACACTCCACCACGCCAAGACTCTCCAAACGAAAGCTCGTTTCTCTCGGGTTTAAACGTTTTTAGTCCAGTAGAACTTTCTCCGACCCCGACAAAACAAGAATCTCGTGCAATCAAAAGAGTCCGAAAGAACTCCTTCGAGTTTGAGATGGACTATGACGAGCTTCAACTTCAAATGCTTCAGTTCAGTGTTATGGCGTACGATGAGTATTCCAGGCAGAAGGTTTTGGGKGATGTGGTTTTTTTTTTGGCCGAGTTCACAAATCAAGGTCTGGACATAACCAGGGAATTAATCATGTGGCGAGAGGTTCAGACGATGGAAAAGGTAAGTAGCAGGCAACCTGTCCTGACCTCTCATCATTTTCAAAATTTGAAGATGGCGGATAAAAATGGCAATCAGAGAAGGCCGGAGGTTGAGATTCCTGGCGACAGGGATTCTTTGGTGATTATAATATGGCTTCCAACTATAGATTTATATGTATTTTTTTTTGATCTGCTAATAAAAAGTATAGGATCTCCCGAGTGCTTGTATCCCAGGTTTTTTTTTTTATAATCCCCCGCACATGAACAAAACGAAATGTCGGAATGGTGTTGGCGTTGATTTTTTTTTTTCTCGGCCGAACAGTGAAAAGTTTCGCTATGCAACATATTGGGTCGTTTCTTTTTTTTTCGTTTGTCTGCTACCCTGAGGCTAAGTCCGAGAAAGTATTTGATCTAAAATTTTTTTTTTTTCCCGTATTTAGAGGTCTCGTGGGAAGCCTCAAGATAACAGCAGCATGATCAGCCCAGGGATTGAAACACCACCCGATAGTATGAATGATTCCAAGTGCAGTCCTTCATATTTTTTTTTTTGTGACTATTTTGTGTTATGTACCATTGTCCTAATTTATTGTTTATGTTGTTTTTTTTGTTTAAGTTATATTATAAGGATGCACAGTTACGTTATTAGTGTAGAAGTAATTTTTTTTTTGTATCGGAGCGCGCTCTTTGCAAGTGAAGGCCGCAGAACGCGTTCCGAATATTTTTTTTCGCAAGAAACAGGTACGCCTAGCATGTCATGAAATATTGTTTCAGACGTTTTTTTTTTTTGCATTTTACACACCTACGCTCCATTTATCGAACTTGCAATAACGCATTTAAATTTTTTTTTGCAAATTTATCAAATTATGCGCGCTAATTGGTCAGAAGAATAATCAAAATGTTTTTTTTCCACATATGCTACTTGCACACCTGCGCACTTGTGCTTAGCATTGTACTCGGGTTTGCGATTATAAAACGCCAGTAACGCGTGCTGTGTCAAACTATAACATCGCGCGTCAGCATCGTACCTCTGTACCGGTATTCTTTGTAAACGTGTAAGTAGGCACTCGGACCCTGCCACGGCGTGGTTAAGGAAAGAATTTCAAAAGTTGTTTTTTTAATAAAAGCATGGCGCTGAAACAGTGTCAAGGCATGTACGGCACGGTCTGTTTCACAATGGTGTGATTCCATGTACGATCTTTTTTTTTTGTTGCGTTTGATTATWGTGCCTTACGTACTTACAGTACGACTACTCTAACCATTTTTTTTTCGACAAATTTTCTACAATTTTATTCAACGATGTTCTAGCTTTAAAACAATATAATTTTCACAAAATACAAATTAAATACTTGTAATCCCAAAGAAAAACTTGTTTGAAAAATTTTTTTTTAAAAATTTTATTATTAGAAAGCTGGAGCATCACAAAATAATTTTCGGAAAATTTTTTTTGTTGGCCCGCTTGCTTAGAGTAGTATCGAGAGTAGTAGCACTTTAACTATAATTTTTTTTAACGTGTCGCTTACACATAGAGCTAATTTACGGACTGGGGAAGTGCGTGTAATTTTTTTTAGGCAAAGCTACTTTCTTCAGGGGTGGCCAAAAATTATTCGAGGATTCGAGTTTTTTTTTGTTCTAAGCGTGAGCCGACTCTCATCGTGTTAAAGCAATTAAAGTTCTCAAGTTTTTTTTGTAACTCTTTCCACGAATGGAAAAGTACGTGCTTGTATCTTCGTATAACTTATTTTTTTTCATGATGGGGTTGCAACTTCTCACTTTTCTCCTTCAATTCACAAAATCCAAGTTTTTTTTACTTCTGGAACTTGGTGAGCAAAGATTGCWGAGAAATGAGTTATTTCCTCTGTTTTTTTTAACAGCAAAGCTGACTAGCTAAAACCCAGAAGGAAGTAAATGTTAACAGTTTATCATGTTTGCTATACTAGTTTTTAATTTGAAACTATATAGAAAAGCTGACTAGACCGGACTAGAATCAATGTTGTCCATACATGTTATGCAATATATTTTCCTATCTTTTCTTTGAGGTTTTTTTTTGCATTTCGCCAACCGAGACARCCATTTCGCCATCTTGGACGCTCTAAGTTATCATACGTATCGTCATTATTCAGCCGAACAATTTGCATCTCGACGAGACAGGATGTCGATCAACAAAATAAAGGCCTGTTTTGCTGCTTTTGTTKTGTGTAGTAATTAATAGTGAATCCCTTTTTTTTTCTTTATCTTGCATAATTTTGCATTAAGTTTTAAAATATTCTTCCATAGGTTGTTGCACTTAGGTCTTGGAACTAGTATTTTAACAAATTGTAATGTTTTTGAAAGTATTAATTTTTTTTTTTGGATAGGTAAAAGGTCACTCTGTAGATTGAGAACGACGAGGAACTTCACTTATAGTAACAGAGCAGTACTGAGTTCTCTCTTACACAGCGAACTAAGAAAAGACCCAATGCATATGAACCAGACATCAGCCCAACTAAACCAACAACCACAAGTATTTCCAACATTTTCCTTTTTTTTGTTGTGCTTGATCAAAGAGTTAGAGTCACGGATGACTAAAAACATTTCTGCATAAATTAAAGTAGCTCTACGCTTGTCCACACGAAACCGGAGCTGACTTTGTATCCGCCTGTTTTTTTTTGTCCATGACTACTTTGAAGACCGTTTTGGAAAATTTTCAAATACGGTCATGTTTTTTTTAAACATTTGAGGATTCGTATCGACAAGGCATACTCCGGTGAACGTTTATAACTGGAATCGAAAGACAAACAAAAAAATAATCGCGTAGGCCCATTTACACTAACGTTTTTGCGACAACGGGCCTTTTAATTACAAGGATAAAACAAAATCTATCATATTTTTGAAAATTTCATTTTTTTTTCGCCAGTGTAAACAAGTCTTGACGTCAGTATGCAGCTAAGTGCAGATAAGTAGCTTTGCTAGTGGGCGCATCTCAGTTATACTCAGGTGATATGTTTTTCCCGCGCGTTGAAATAGGGTATTCCATAAATCCAATAAAGCTTTATATTATATTATGAGGGGTTGGCTTAGCTTTTTTTTATAATATGCATAATCTCCAATGAATTCTACATGCCTTATTTTGCATGCAACATTTTTTTTGTTGAACTCTGGAGTCACGTATGACTTGCATCTTGTGGGGTTCGCTCGCGTCTTTTTTTTCGTCAATATTTCTGTTTATATTTTTCGTAAATTAAATACACAACCAGTAAAATTTTTTTTTTATTGTTTTTGTACAGTTATCATTTTGGTGTCAAGAAGTGTTACATAAATTTTTTTTTTTTATCAAAACAAAAACAAAAATCGGCAGGTATAAAAAAAAGTACAACAAAATTTTTTTTGACACCCAAAAATATCACAGATTTAATATCAAACTCTTACATTATACAAAGCTTTTTTTTAGTATTGTCACTGTGYTRTACAAAATTTCCATATTTATCAGACAAGAAACGATTTTTTTTGCGATCTGTCACGTTGTTGTTTATTGAAATGACAGATCGGTCTTAAACGAGCCAATCAACGAGCGACTTTTTATAGCCAGCACGGGTCGTGACGTGTTGCCTTCAAAGTTATTTCGGAAATCACTTTTATATCGTTCAAAATATTCTCCTCAGCGAGCCAGAATGGATAAAATCGTTCAAAGATCCAATGAAGAAACTCAAACAAAAAAAAATATTGTCGAAGGAAATTCATTTTTTTTTTGAGCAAAATATGTGTAGCAGTTATTCATCAAAACCACGGCCAATAAAACTCTTTTTTTTAAGTTTACTTTTACATTTCATTCAGCTGACCAACAGCAAAATTTGGAGCCATGATTACATCGATAAATTGAGTACTTTTTGGGCGTGATATAAAAAAAAGATATAAAAAAAATTTTTTTTAAGAATTAGTAGTTTGTGCTATAGTGTCTGATCAAATGATAATAAAAATGATCGCAAGTAATATTAAAATTGTACTAATTTCTTAATATAAATACCAGTGACTGCACTCGCGCTATTTTCCTCTCGATATATGCCTCCGCCGCGAATGAATTTCACTGCTGCAGTGAAAAATTTTTTTTTAATAAAAACGGATGTTAAGGATAAATTATTTTTAATTTAGAGATAATAACAAGAAAAAATAATAGTTTGCTCGCCTTGAGGTCGACACATTCCGACCACAACATTCGGTAGTTTTTTTTTTCCCACACATTACTTGATTTCAAATTTGCAAATGTTTCTTTTGTAACATATATTTTTTTTATTCTGCCGTATATTCTAAAAGTAAATACCCTCTAGTTCGTCTGCTTCAAATTTTTTTTTCAGACAGGACCAGTGTTACAGTAGATCCAGTTCGAAGGGTTTTCCTTAACGCTTTTTTTTTGTCYGGCACCTAGGTGATTTTTTRAGCTTATTTGGGGCATTTCTCAACCATTTTTCCTCCACGAACAGGCTAAAAGGAAAATTGAAGAGTAATCATGTTAGGGGCTGGCGTCGAGGTTTTCAGGGGCCAAGATAACGGCTTCTGATCGAGTGGTAATCCGTAGTCTGTATCGTGGCCCATTCGAGTCAGTTTACTTTTGATTATTTCACAAGGCATTGTTTTACAATTCTGTGACGTCACGTACCACATGCGCTTTATGCTATCCTTCGCCCCGTTCTTTCCTCAATATCGTTTTTTTTAACCCTAAAACAGAAATTACTTCGCTTACCTCGACTTTCGCTGGCTTACCTGATCCTCCAAAGGCACAAACAACCCCCGAATGTGTCTAAAAGTTCTTAACTAGCTTTGGACTTTTTTTTGCGAGCGTTTGTAGAGCTGGGATTGCAGGTTTTCACTGAGTTTTCCGATAGTCAAAATTCCCTCGAAAACGCCATCCAAAATGGCTGGTATAATCTTTCTCTCTCGAGTGCCTTTTTTTTTGCTCTAGAGAAGCAAGGCAAAAGGCAAAAGCTTATATAAGAAGGAGGCTGATTTTTTTTCGGTAAGGAGATAATTTTAACAGAAATACCAGGTTCCTATTCTTTGCTAATAGTTTGTAACTTTCCTTTCTCGACTTGGTTTAAGTTTAAACGTTAAATCGGGGCGTGGAAATTTTTTTTGAAACAAACCTCAAATTCCCGTCTTTCCTCGCTGAATATAAGTTTAATTCATTTTTTTTTATGTGCAGTAATGTTGTAGATAACATTCGTAAATAAACAGAGTCTAGAACTGTTTTTTTTACGTCCGTTTCGCCGCCATCTCTTGCTTGTGATTTACGCATGGCGCTGCAGTTTTTTTTTTCAACTCTATAGCTATTGTTCTTTCTTCGCATTTTGATCCTTAGGTAGGAATTGCTTCGGGTAAGTTGGGCAGCAATTTTCAGCCATGGACCGCCGTGATGTCCCAAGTCAAAGTCCTGTAAACTCGCACAGCTTCTTTGATGGCAGTCCCGGTGAGTTGATCAGTTTTTAGCTCGATCGTCCATTCACTAACTGGACCAGTAACCGTTTACTAATTATAAACTCATGTTCAAGTAGAAGTAGTTGTTTGCCTTCCTCGCTAAACAGTATTCTATGAGTAACTGCTTTGTGCTATTCGCTCATTTCGACTATTCTTCGTTATTATGGTGTTTGCTTGTCATTTTAGATTTTTTTTTTTTTCGWCATTTTGTGGTATTGTGATATTATTTACGGTTCGAAATATCAAACTTAAAAACTCTTCTTGTTGTCTTGTAGGTCATGCTAATCCGACGCTTCGCTCACCAGCTTTAACCCATGAACGTCCTTATGGAATGCATTCCCTTCCAAGTGCATTTTCCATGATGGGAAGAAGTTTTTTTTTGTCTCATTCAAGTCCAGATTTTCTTAGTCAAGATCCAATGCTTGCCTCTCAACCTAGTTTATCACCTTCAAGCCACCTTCACAGTGGTATAGGTAGTGCAACTGGAGCCCCTTTTTTTTCTTGGATGCCTACTCATCCACATATTGCTAGTCCAGATTTTTTTCAAACTCACATCTCTAGTGGATGGCTTGGACATGATCATGACCGTTCACGTGAGCGCATAGAAGACTGTTTATTTACATCTCCCCGATCACATGCACCACCTCTGATCAATGGAGCTGGTAGTACAGCTTTTTTTTGCCCAGGATCAGGTATTTTTTACCCTCACGCTTCCACTTCAACACCTCCAGTCCATAGTTTTCCACACCACACTCCAGGCTGGTCTAACCACAACAACCACAATCAAAGAGGATCTTTTGATCATGGAGAAAATCACGATGACTTATTTTCTTTACCTATGAGACCTAGACATACTAGTATGAGTAGCGATGATGGCACTAAGAACTTAATTAATAAACACAATGAGTTACCTTTTTTTTTGCATGTACCAGATCGTAGAATGGACCATCAAAAAGACACATATGATAGATCTATAGGTGACTCAACAGGTGTCATGTCTACTTCACATTACCAGGACAAAACCCTGCCATTTTTTTTTTCTTCTTCTGTTGTCAAAGGTGTTAATAGCAACAAAACTTCACCAATTTCTAATTTTTTTTAAGAATTCAGTCACTATGAACCCAAACCAACAGAAAGTACATGTAAGTCTGATTTTTTTTGAAAAACAAATCCTGTGATATCACCATCTTATGTCCAGGCTACCAGGACAGATTTTTTTTACAAACAAACTACAGAAGGATCAGCTTTTTCTTTACCTCCATCTTCTCAAGATTCTAAAATTCTACCCCCACCACCAAAACTAACCAAGACTAAAGCTCCTCCACCGCCAAGTTTTTTTTTGCCAAAATCTATTCTCAACGACAGAGAAACTGTTGTGCCACAAGTTTCCCCTTTTTTTTCAGAAAAGAGCAAAACTGCAAATGAAGGTATTACACCAAGAACAGATGTCAACAGTACTGGAAAGAAGTCTTCTCTAAACTCAAGTGAGCCAGTTAAAGAGCAGAAGCTAAGTTTTTTTTAGGAAGCTTTGCTTCAAAAACTCAAAGATAGACCTATTCTTCAACAGACTCAGCCGGATGTTAAAAAAACAAATACAGTTCAAGAAACATCAAAACTCTCACAAACAAAGCCTTCTCCGACTAAATCTGCTCCTCCAAGTAAAGTATCAAATACCCCTTCAATAACATCACCTTTTTTTTTCCCATCGGGMAAGCCGTTGCACATGGCAAGATTTAGGTTGCCTTACAATAATTTTTTTTCTAGTGACGAAGAAAGTGACAGTAGTGAAGCGAGTAGTGAAAGTGGTTCAGGTTTTTTTTCAAGTGAAGAAGGAGARGGTAAAGAAGAAGAGGAAAGTGGAAGTGGATCTGATAGTGAAAGTGACAGTGATGGCAGTGACAATGAAGAAGGTGGTGATGATGACGATGAAGATTTTTTTTACGAAGAAGAATCRTCAGGAATTATATGTAGCCAAGAGGATAATGAATCAGGTTTTTTTTATGCCAAGCAAGGATTGCCAGGAACAGGCACAGGTATGATTAGTATTTTGTCTTTTTTTTTATTATCAATTATTGAATTTATTGTTTAATGTTTTTTTCTCTGTATGATGTATTTTTTTTTGTTAATCACATTAAGGGACAATTATTACATATGCTTCTATATTGAATCCAAATGATTGGCAAAGATATTTATAATGTTAAAATAAAATAGAAAAAAACAGCAACATTATAATTTTTTTTACAGTCATAATGAGGATTATAATAGTGACAGTAAATGTAGTGACATGTATTCTTTTTTTTCATAAGGATTAAGCCATTAATCATCAAAATCTGGTTTCTGTTTTAAACTTTGAGTCTTCTACTTTTTCCAAATTACAGATGTAATACTTCATGTGATTCACATATATATATTGTCACTTTTTCAGAACACCCACCTACTTCTAAATCTGATGAAACCTCTGTTAGRTTAATTTTTTTTTTAATTAACTTAAAATAATGTAATTGTGAATAATACATTAAGAATCATGTTTTACTGTAATTTGAATACATTTTTGTGCAAATTTGACACTATKGGTTGATTGATAGATTTAAATTTTTTTTATATTTTTTTAAAAAGTGCAAAATCTACATGTACATTGCCTTTACAGAGTTCTTTTTTTTTTTAATGATTGTATGCAAAGGAAAATGATATTAATAATGGTCAATAACAACAAATTGCTAGAATTTATTATTTTGTTTATAAATTCATGTTTGTGTACATAGACCTGTCTTGTATGTATGTATTCATTGAAAGACTAATTTACATGTCTTATTCTTTTAATAGGGGCACCGATTTTTTTTAGGAGAGATGTCGACGAAGATGCTGTGTCAATACCACTTGAACAAGGGTAAATTTTTTTTTTTTTAGTTATCATAATTATTTATGTAATAGTAAGTAGTATTAAGAATGGCCTTTTTTTTATCATACTCAATTGAAGATGAGGAATGAAAAAAAGAAAAAAATACAGTAAAATTTTTTTTCTCAGCTAAAATCTTAATTACAAGATCAATGAAACTCCACAAAGTTTTCATATTTTTTTTTATATTAAAAAAACAACAACAAAAAAACAGAATTGACAGTACTAAACATCATTTTTTTTTGAGTATATTTTACTGTACTGCCATTGCATTACAATGTACAAAAGCCCAATGTTTTTTTTTTTTCTAATTTTAAAGTTTATATGTTGCAATTATCATTTTTGTGTAGATGGAGTTTTTTTTCACGTCTAAGACCAATCGGCCCACAAGGAGCATTGCGTGGTGATGTCTTTTATTTTTTTTCCTGTGGCAAGAAACTGAGAACTTATCCCGATGTAACAAGGGTAAATAATGATTTTTTTTTCATTATAATTACCACAAATTTCTGGTCACTTACTACTCTTGATTACCAGTATTTTTTTTATTCAATATTATCCAGTCATCATGCAACCTATATACAGTAGTCCCTATTATCTTTTTTTTGCTGCAAACTTGAATTCTATTGTTTTCAGGATCAATTCAGGGTGGGATTTTGTTTTTTTTTTGGGGAGGGGGGGAAGGGGGGGAGGGTTATGCAAAAAATATGTACGTACATTTTTTTTTTGTACAGCTCTAAGAATGCTATGAGAGTGAATGTTTTTGAAGCACTGAATTATTTTTTTTAGAAACTTTTCAGTACATTTTCATGTAATGTAACACATTCTTTTATTCTATTTTTTTTTTATTATTTCTTTAAAATCCAAAATGGACACTGTTTTACAGTATTAAGGTAGGGTTTTTTTTTTCAAGCGAATTCATATATTTACCATGAAGTTGATAAATTCGTCATTTTGTTTTTTTTTTTGGAATACTGTACCAAAAAGAAAACAGCAATAACAAATGTCTGACCACCGATTTTTTTTTTATTTCACTTTGGTAAAACTAATTTATAAATGACATTTCAGGTCTGATTTTTTTTTTTTTACTTCATATTTTCTAATAAAGTTCTGCCATTTTTTCAAAAATCCAGGAGATGTTTTTTTTAATCTTGAMAATTTTTATCTYGGAGGTTGACAGCCTTGTAAGGTCTAGGACTTTTTTTTTAACATTTTGTCAAGTTCTCTGTGATTTGATCCACTAAATTTAAAGAATACTGTTTTTTTTAAATTTGGTGTCAAAGTTTCATATCTTATAGATAATTTAAATTCTCCCCATTTTTTTTTTACTTTATAAGAACATAAAATAAAATAATGTGTTTTTTTAGTATTTGACAAAGAACAACATCACCTATTTTACACTGGAGAACTTCAGCTTCAGCACCAAGCTTCACATTGGTGAATTTTTTTTATGGAAGGAGGTATGTTACAGTATTATCAATTTATGAACAACTCATTAATTCTTTTTTTTCCTAGTGATAGCCCTACTTCTTAAAATCGTGTAAGGTACAGTAAAGTGTAAGTTTTTTTTA